ATTGAACTAGATTTGAAGCAAAAAATTACTAAGACCATACACTTACATAACAAGTAAGAACTCACTGAAGTTACTCACCTAGTGAAGACAAGGCACAGTAATGTTGCACTAAGGATCATCAGTTGCTGACTCAAAGCTGACTGGGATTTCTGCATAGCTCTGTGTAAATCATTCTGAAACACGAGTTTGGAAGATTAGTAAATGCATAATGCGTATTTCAATGTGAATTATATAAATAAATTACTTACGAACATATTTTCCAAGGAATGCTTTGCCAACCAGCAGTTTAGGAACACCGGAATGAATAGGTTTCGCATTGGTGGATAAAGCAACTGAAAATAAAATTAATCATTTAGCGTATAAAGTTTGTTGTATATTTGATACTTTAACGTTATTTTCATTTATGATATTTAGTAAAACGTTATTTAAAAATTTCTTATATAATAATTCAGCAAACTCTGTTCGTTTCTAATTCATTCATTTCAATGTACACATTATATCATTTGTAGGTTACGAAGATGATTTTAAAACAAATGATTGAAACGTGAAATAAATATTAGCTCATTTGGTATCCTTTAAAATGACTTTGTGTACGTGCTCCATACTTTGGAACACGTCCGTAAATGCTTCAGGAATGGTTCAAGACACGAAGACTTGGGATTTAGGGATTCAGCTGAAACGTCGAGTGTCGCTGAAGAGAGACAAAACTAATGAGACTAAGCCAATGAAATCTCAAAGCGCTTCCCCGTGATAGAGTTACATCCCATTCGCGTTTAGATCGAGGTTAATCCCCGCAGGATAGATAGTGATCGATAAACCGTCAAGATCGCGTACCATTTGTGTTAGAGAAACTCCATCGCGTCGTCTAGATTGTAATCGAGAACGCTCGCATCAATTCAGAACAGACAGTTTTATTTAAAGAAACAAGAACCTGTTTTCTCAAACTTAAATAGCAGTACTTAAAATAACCTCCCGTAACATGAAATATGCCACCGATGTAGATTATACATTTTAAAGTCATAATTCGTACTCCTTACCTACTTATTTCGCTAAAAATATATACCACGATTGCCGCAGGAGAATACTAATTCACAGCAATTAACTGAAAATAAAGTCTACCATTTACAGTCATAAACGACTGCTTATTCTTGGACTCTTATCGCTCCCTGCGAATCGTCGCACAGTGTGATATTTCAGCGATATAGCGGGACAAAACTTATGTTTTTCAATAACTCGGAAATTATTAAGTCGTCCGCACAAGAAGCTACTCAAACGAAACGTAATTGGTTCGTGACTGAAATCACAAACTAGTTATCTATTGGTTAGTAATGATTTTGAACATTTTTAGAAAAAGCATCTACCGCTGCCCGCGCGGTATAATATTGCAGCAAAGTCATGTACTCGGTCATTGTTTAAACAAATATTGCTAATAATTAATGTAACTATTGTCAGAAATTAATTTTTAGTTATTTCAGCTAACAGATATAACGTATAGAAAAATTTCTTCCGATTACTGTGACGAACAATTCTTCGTCGCGAATAATATCGAGCTAATGGCTGCGAACTTGTAAATTGTAAAGTGTAAAATAAATTAAGTATTAACATTAATACATTTTTATTGCAAAATGTTAGTCAATATGAGTCTAGCTTTCTGTGCAAAAAGTATACATCCCAAATACAGTCAAATAATATGTTAAAAGCTAACTATATCTCGAGAACAGTCGTTAAATTACAATTATAATGACTTCAAAAAATTCCTCAAACGTAAAAAACGCACAAACTTTTGGTTCACCCTAATACTTTCCAAAGTGATGTTAATTCCACGTTGAAAAATCAATTACAGATACGCCAACAGCCTCAAAAACACTCCAGCCAAATGAACAAAATACATCCAACAGAGATGGTTTTCAAATACAGAAATTCCACCTCACATGAAGCTTCGCTTCACAAGTTGTTTCCAATAACAGATTTTCCATTGAAATTCCCTTTCACGGCTTCGTTGAAACTGTTCTAGCAAAGCTGTTTGAACACCCCGAGTACCAGTAAACACACTTAACACCATACTTGTTGCTTCACAACAAACATTAACATTAAAACGTTGTTAGCGAGGAATCACAATTGTATTCGAAGCTCGCGAATGCTAAATGACGGTTTAACGCAACAAGCCTTTGTTCCCGATCAGGGAACGAAAGCTCGTTACTACCATTCATGTCATAGCCCTGGGATAGTGGAATTCCGTAACTACATATCGACGGTGCATATTCAACGTAGCAAACGTAAAGCAACAAGTTCCACGGTTCGTTTGGCATGGTGCTTATTAACGAAACGTTGTCTGCGCATTGTGGTTCGCGATTCGATGAAATATAAAGTTCTATTAGAACCTTTTGATGTTGCGTGCTGGAGGTACGTAAAACGTACAGATTCCTATCGGTGCCCCGCGGAATGGAACTCAGAAGGAATCGCACGGTTGATATAATTCGTTTTATCGCCGGTAAAAAGCTTTAAGTGTCTGGGAAACGTTTTCTTCCTCGTTTCTGCACGTTTGTTATCGAATCACGCCTTAACGAATCGTTTTACAGCTCTATATAGGAATGCCTGTTTCGACGGCTGTAATAAAATGTACCGGACAAATTGCTCAGCAATCCTCGCGATATACCCGAAGGGCTCTTCAAAATGCGCAGATTTTCTCGATGTTCGATTGCTTTTATTCAAATGTTCCTTTATTTCTTAATTTTTTAATTTACGTCCATTTCCTTTGGTATAATAATTGACGAGAATATTATTTTTCGCTGTGACTTCATCGTGAACGTTTTTGTTATCAGAGATGATTTTATTTTACTTTATGAAGTACGATGAAGGGTAATATGATAATTAGAATATTATGTGTAGCCAAATAAATTTGAAACTATCAGTTCTGTCTAATTTTGTAGTTCCACGAATACAAACCTGACTATATCGTCTATTACAAACTCAAGCTCGTCTGTATCAACTTCCAAGTATTCAAACTTGTTTGTGTATAAAACCCCTGCTCGATTGTGTCAATTTTCAGGGATTCAAGCACAGTTGTATAAATTTTTGTGAATGCAAGCTTCACTGTATCATCTACCACAGATTCAAGCTCCGTTCAAACTCCACAAATCAATCGCATCAACTTCCACAAACCTAAGCTCCACCACCAGATTATTTCTAACAATGTCTCCCATGTTCAGTCATCTGTCATTCATTTTCTGTTTTACAAGACGAATGGTTTTTAAATCGAGACTATCGCAATTCGATTAGTCTACGTTAGGTTTCGGGTATCCAAAGCGTGTGTTCTTGACAATCTGTGCCAAAACTTTCATGTTTGCCGTCATCTGCGTTTCGCGAAACGAAGGTTCGTTGTATTGAATTTCTCACGAACGGATTTGTTCTCCTGAGGATCTGTCTTCCGTGCAGCATACGAGGAGGACACGATTGTCTATGACAATTCCTGCGGGTCTGTGGTGGTTTGTTTCGAATTACACGAACCGGAGGTGGACTGCATCATATCTCACGGGTCCGAGTTTGTCAGCGACGAGCCTTATTGAACTGGGAATAACACTGTCGCGTCCCACGAGCACTGCGTCACACATATTTGGTTCAACGGATTCTCCACCAGCCATGTAAACTTTCTCGTGCTTACGTACACGTTTCCAACGTGATCCTTTTCATTGCAAATAACAAGCGTCTTATGCGCTAATTTGCTTTTTGCACTAACTTAAAATCTATTCGAGTATTATGTGATATTTGGAGTATAAAGTCGAGACCGAAACTTTTGTGGTATATTTCGAATGGAAAATATTTACTTCATTTTTCTAGCTTAAAAAATTCGTTACTCTTGAAGACTCTCTCTAAAGCAAAACTAATTCTACTTTACGATTCTTTAATTTTGTATTAAATAAAAAAATTGTAGAAGTCGTCAGTACTGTCGTTCCTTGCTTTGATATTATTTTAGATGCTTCTATGATTTAGTGTTTCATTTTATACGACATATCATAAGTTAACATCAATTGTTTTATGCTAAAGTTATTTGTAATATTTACTAAATTACTTCGATAGGAAATATAGAAAATTAGTCTTAATTTAAAAAATATAATAGTTTGGTACTCAGAAGGTTAATTCATACATAGTCGACGGAGATTAGGATAGATAACAGCTTGAACATTCAGAGTTAATTAAAAATACGGCAATGTATCGTTAGAATAAAGTGACTCACCGTAATCGTGAATGGTATCGTGTTGACTAGTTCCAGGATGAAGTGGAAAGAGAGAAGCTGCTGCCAGACGTTTCCCTGTGAACATGACGAAGGCAGCTCAACAAACCCAGCGACAATTTTAAGAAAATGCAAAGTGCCATAAAAAGATTCAAGAACAAAGCACATAGCCGTCCTGCACTTTCTGCGACATTCGCGCTATACCAACGATTTTCAAAATGTTAAGCTAAATCAACAGGTGTTACGTTAATTTCCGTAACCCGTATTGAATGTTCCCTCCGGATTCGCGAATGGACAAACTGGCACGCGTGAGTGGACAAACTGTAATTAAAGCATTATACTAATCTCGTGATTGCGCTGTTTCATTTACTAAAATTATACAGAAATTTGACCCTTTCCTTTTAACCTCTTCGAGCCGTACGTTACAATGCGCGAGAGTTTAAACATTTATTTTTAACACAAGAGAACCAGGTTTGTAAAATAATAAGTGTAACATTTCCGAAGTTAATCTTTGTTTAAGTGTCTTTCGTGAAAATTAGTAGTATTTGTCAATAGACATTACAAACAGTTTAGTTGCAGAAGAATGTTGCAAGTAGAACCAGGTAAAATAATATTTTCATTCTGAAATTGACGTGTCTTAGAAAGATAAATATAGTTATATTTAGTTTTATGTAGGGTGTCCCAGAATTCTGAACCATAATTTCTTTTACAAAAATGTCGGATGGTGCTTCGTTTTTGAATTATTGACAAAAAACCACCGATCAATCACAGCGCTCGAGTAACGTGCTGTAGCCAGCCAATCCTGGCTCTAGCCTATGTTCTCGCGACTGAATGCGCGCTACTCGGACGCTGTAATTGGTCGGTGGTTTTTCGAAATAATACAAAAACGAAGCACCATCTGACATTTTTGTAAAGGAAATTATGGTTCAGAATCGTCTCAGCTACTCTCCATTCAACGAAAAAATTGTATTGCATATTTTGTTCTTATTTTTTCATCAGGAACCACCTCGTGCCCGGTAGTACATGTTGTTCGCCCCCTGTATAGTATTATATAGAATAATAATTTCGTTCTACTGTGGGAGTTCCACCAAAAGTTTTCCTTTATCGAGGAAGTTCACGAGAAAGTGAAGTTTAAGAAACTTGAAAGAAAATCAATTTCCTATACCTCATCCGATACAGTGAACTTTCTCCACGTAACATTACTTATTCAAAGGAGACTTTGTGCCGCGTCTTAATTAAACTAAACGACAGATTTCACCTGCAGCGTAAATCATAAACGCGTTGCAACCTTGTGTAAATCTTTACAATCTTATACAAAACCGAGAAACGGTTTTTCTGACATTTCCAAGTACCTCTCACCCCTGTATTGTAAACAAAAATTAATTTCCAAGGGCCACATACACTTTCAAAGGATTTGAATCAAAGTTTTAATTACTCGGTCCTGTCGCGAGCGCTTGAATGGATCGTTTAGTATGTTGCGTCAAGTATAAAAAATTTCAATGCACGGTAATACGTTTCCATGCACAATCGAGATAATTAATAAATTAATTAATTCGTAGGGCATAAGTTTTCTGAAATTTGTAGTTTGATGTGAAACGTTCGTTGTTCGTTAGAATAGATTGAATTTGGTGCTAAGTGAACCCATTTAATTAAACGATGCGTCAATGACTAGATAACAATAAGTGTTTTAAAATAATTAATTTGGATAGAGAAATAGTATATTCCTCGTCTTTGTGACTAATCGGGCAGGTTTACCTCGCACTATAAAATTTACTTTCATTGTACCAACGCAGAGTGCCAAATTGAAATGGTTTAATGCGATGGTGCGATACTAGTAAAATTTTACACTTTTTATATTGTTCGCGTTGCTCTGAAATCCCACGGTAGAGCAAAACGGAACGTTTTGCGGGAGCGTAGTTCGTCGAACTAAAAGTTTTCGATGGAAAAGTTTCACGCTAGTCATCGTATTCGATTCAAAAATTCCAACTTCACACGGGCTAAATTTTCAAAGCGCGCAGAAAACATTTTTCACGATTTCTAGGTACGAATCCGCGCATTTGGATCGATGAAAAGTTATTAAAAGACAATCTGCTGCAAAATTTACTTTTTCTTTAAAATGAGAAGAATTCTTGTATTCTTTCCAAGTATTTTACATAAGAGGAAGATAAATTGTCCAAGATTGATGATTATATCATAAAGGAATCTTTCACAAAAAGGTTGTTAAAGTTTCAGGCAAGAAGTTGTTTTATTCTAGTAGTATATATCGTAATTATCAGTTCTATTGGTAATCTGATTGTTTATTATTCTAGTTTCACTTCCTGAATGTTCATAAGTGTAGTTCAGTAAGCACTTGCTGAAAACTTGCGTCAAAGAAAAAAGAAATTATATTCAGGCCTACACTAAAACTTTTTAAACATTCAGAAGCGAATGACAGATACACACGTAGCTGTACCAATTTAATATTTGCTGTATATCATTGTTGTAAACGTGAGAAATAAATGATATCGTCAATCTATGTTGTAATAATACCCTCTCTTTAAGAGACCTCCTTGTTTCTTGTCTACAACAGCGTGGAAATTCCCAAACGTACAGAATTTTCATGAATACGTCTCCCCTGTTCCATCAAAACGAACAAAAGGGAAGCGCTGACATAAGCCCCTAGGTACTCTTCAAATTTCTTCGTCCCTTTCTGATCGAACATCCCCGAGGAATTCCTCAAAAACTGTGCTACACCTCAACACTGACTAATGTCCCATTCGTATTCGCCCATCGTGCATACATTTTCCGTTCCGATTCCCTTCTGTCAAGCTGTCGAGGGCTCGAACCTTTGTCATCCGTCGCGGCCAAGCTTTGACGGCTCGAGGCATTCTTAAGGGAGAAAGATTGGAAGACGACTAACGAGACAAACGCGAAACAGTAAACCTTACAACGTGAATGGATTTTGTTAACCGTCGGACTCGCCGTCATCGTTTACTTTCAATCTTCTGACACGTTGACAACCATTCAAGATTTTTATTTTTAGGAACGCATTAGACATTAGCCGTGTAAAGTTGGTCCCTCCGATATTAAAAAATTCAAAGTTTTCTTTTTGCAAATGTCTATCCAACGATTGCTCATTAATGCCTCGTTGGAATTTTTATTTGCCCCTTTTTAGTTTAAAAATGATAAGCAATTCAATTTGGGAAGTCTAACTTTACATCGGTTCCCCATTATTAGAAAATTCAAAATTTTCTTTTTGCAAACATTTTCCCATCAATGTCAATAAAGGAGTCTTTACTTTCTGTTTTCAATGATAAATAATTATTTCCATTGGAAAAATGTTATATTTAAAATGAACGATTTCTCGTAATACAGATTTATTCTCGTTGAGCTGTTGAAATAATTTCCATTATACGCACTGGATATCGATTTATAAAAACTGTAATCACTCGAGTTTTGTTAAAGTACAATGCAGCTTCGAAAGAAAATGAAACTCCACGTAGAAAGTTATTATATGGTGGTCTATCAAAAGCAAATATTAATTATATTAGTACGTAATAAATGCGTCCTGTATAAAACAGTGACGCATTCTTTATTTAACAACGAAACTGAATATAAATATTTTTATTTAGTCCAGCGTCGAATCGGAAATATTACGGTATATTGCCAACATGATTGAGTATAAAGCTTAATTTTACGTTTGATGTCCATAGAATGTAATGTGTCAGGCTATTCGTCACTTAATCGATCCATGTATTTCGTATCTCTGGCATATTTCGAAACCATATATCGAAACCATTCGAACGTTGAAATCCAAGCAAGAGAAGCGAAGATGGAGTTATGTATGTTCTAACTGTACAACATATTTCAGTAATAGTTCTTGTTGCAGCACGAAGCGTAACTTAGTTTACAGACTAAACCATCTTGATGGATATCTATCTGTAATTAACGCTAAGCGTTATTCACGCGAGAGCGCCAAGTAACTGACAATGAAAACCAGGTAGCAACTCGACTGCAAGTAAGGACTGAAATATAAGTGACCGAACTTGAGCGTAATTTCTCTAGAGATACATAGAGGACGTCTCATACGACGTGGTACTGTTGTGTAAGAGGTGATTTCACGCGAAAAATTAAATCTATTAAAGTAAAAAACAATATTTTTATTCGCAAGGCTTTGTGTTTGAGAAAATCAGTCATTTTATTTGAGAGTATTAGTCAATAAATTAAAAAGTATTAAATCTTCTTTATAATTTCAGAGCAAAACTGAACGAAATTTCAAGCGTTCATTTTAAACGTAATAATTTATAAGGTTTGGTCTAAAAATCAAAAAGAATTTCTAATATCAATTATGAAAATTCGTCGGACACGCATACACTTGACTAATGAGGCAAAGCTTTTTTGTTTGAGTTTGAAAACTGTGATAAGGATAATATTTGCTTTCCGTCATTCCTATCTGATTCTCGATATGTCCGTCAGTCTTTCGTTATTTATTATACATGCTACTGCTTGAGGTTGTACAGGAAAGAATATCTCAATCGATGTCACTCAAACTGATCAGTTATTTAGAGAGTTGAACATGCTCTTGGAACGTAGTAGCTCTCATTGTTTTTTTTTTGAATTTTGTCAATACTCTAGAAAATTTCAATAAAAAATTGTACATCAACAAACGCGAGCCGAAGTAGTAGTATGGGTTGAAGAGAGGAAGATCAATCTTGTAAGTAGTTACGGATCGTATTGGGTCAGACGTTTCGGTCAGGCTTTCTAAGGCCTACGGCTAAGCGAAAAATACCGTACGCTGTCCTCGTTCCTCTTAACCCTTTAACTGCGATATTGGAATTTATATCAACGAGAGAACATGTTCAAGTGTAATGTTCCTATTTTTTCTTCACTTTGTAGAGGATGCACTAGAAATACGCGATGTTCGAATAGTTCTCATATCTTACTTTCTGGAAGAATTCGACAGGTTTTCAAATTGAAGACAACGACGACGATTAATATTTCTGGGAAATAACTAGCGCATAAACTGATTAACAGTTGATACTCGTTGGTGATTCAGGATCAACATAAAGCTGATTATCGTAGTTTAAAGTTGATTGTTG